TGGAAGATTTTTCCATCTGTTTGTGTCCTCTCTTATTTCATTGAACAGTGGTTTGTAGTTCTCCTTGAAAAGGTCCTTCACATCCCTTGTTAGTTGTATTCCTAGGTATTTTATTCTCTTTGTAGCAATTGTGAATGGGGGTTCACTCATGATTTGGCTCTCTGTCTGTTTTTGGTATCTTGGAATGCTTGTGATTTTTGCACATTGATTTTGTATCCTGAGACTTTGCTGAAGCTGCTTATCAGCTTAAGGAGATTTTGGGCTGAGACGATGGAATCTTCTAAATACACAATCATGTCATCTGCAAATAGAGACAAATTGACTTCCTCTTTTGATAACTGAATACCATTTATTTCTTTTTCTTCTCTGACTGCCCTGAACAGAACTTCCAATACTATACTGAATACGAGTGGTGGGAGAGCGCATCTTGTCTTGTGCCCATTTTCAAAGGGAATGCTTCCAGTTTTTGTCCATTCAGTTTGATATTGGCTGTGAGTTTGTCATAAATAGCTCTTATTATTTTGAGATACATTCCATTGATACCTAATTTGTTGTGAGTTTTTAGCATAAAGGGCTGTTGAATTTTCTCAAAGGCTTTATCTTGCATCTATTGAGATAATCTCATGTTTTTTTTTAATTTGGTTCTGTTTATGTGATAGATTGCATTTACTGATTTGCATATTTTCAACCAGACTTGCATTCCAGGGATGAAGCCAACTTGATCATGATGGATAAGCTTTTAGATGTGCTGTTGGATTCAGTTTGCCAGTATTTTATTGAGGATTTTCATGTCAATGTTCATCACGGATATTGGCCTGAAATTTTCTTTTTTAGTTGTGTCTCTGCCAAGTTTTGGTATCAGGATGATGTTGGTATCATAAAATAAGTTAGGGAGGATTCCCTCTTTTTGTATTGTTTGGAATAGTTTCAGAAGGAATGGTAGCAGCTCTTCTTCGTACCTCTGGTAGAATTCAGCTGTGAACCCATGTGGTCCTGGGCTTTTTTTCCTTGGTAGGCTATGAATTGCTGCCTCAATTTCAGAACTTGTTATTGGTCTGTTCAGGGATCTGACTTCTTCCTGGTTTAGTCTTGGGAGGGTATAAGTGTCCAGGAATTTATCCATTTCTTCTAGATTTTCTAGTTTATTTGCATAGAGTTGTTTATAATATTCTCTGATGGTAGTTTGTATTTCTGTGGAATTGGTAGTGATATGCCCTTTATCATTTTTTTATTGCATCTATTTGATTCTTCTTTCTTTTTTCTTTACTAGTCTGGCTAGTGGTCTATCTATTTTGTTAATCTTTTCAAAACACCAGCTCCTAGATTCACTGATTTTTTGAAGGGTTCTTTTATGTCTATATCTCCTTCAGTTCTGCTCTGATCTTAGTTATTTCTTATCTTCTGCTATCGTTTGAAAAAGATGGAAGTCCCTCTTTTGGACAGTTCCCAACTATAATCACACAGGGAAGGAGGACTCTGGGAAACATAATTGATTTTTTTATCTATAGATTGTTAATATGGCTTTAATTTTTAATTTTTCCTGTTTTTATTTATAGCAGTTTATACCTAAAGTGAAGGTACATATTCATATGCACTCTCAAAATAACAGCAATTTTTTTTTAGTGCTTAATATTTGCTGAGGATTCTGTTGGCCACTGTACATATTAAACCTCTCAGCAACCTTTAAGGTACCACTAATTTCTTTCCTTTTTAGCTGAGGAAGCCAAACTTCAGTGAGACTCAGAATCTTGCCCAATAATACTATATAGTTGGGTATAATAGAGGCTCCCTATTACATAAATACTGTGAATTCAATTATTCTAATTGCCACACTTATTTACTACTGGCTTTCAGTAATCTTGAAAGACAGAAAAAAAAAGATAATAAAAGACAGAAATGTGAATTATTAGGTTGGTGCAAAAGTATTTGCAATTACTTTTAGTGGCAAAAAACACAATTATTTTGCACCAACCTAATAAATATATAAATAGTTTTGCCTCGTTAAGCTGTATTTAATTCTATTTTTCCAATTCTTATGGTTCAAAAACAATTATTATAGATGAAAATCCATCCATAGGAAAATGATACTGTAATTGTTAAAAATGCTGTAAAGAAAGAGCAAATGATTAGTTGCATGGTAAGGGTGGAGAGGCCTCAGATATCCATATTCTCACAAGACTGCTTTTCCAATATAGTAACTCTTTATTTATATGTGTTTATATCCTTTGTCACTCTTGAACAAAGGTATTATTGACAGTAAGGGACTAGAAACCCTAAGCCAGTATTTGATAAAATTATTATCAAGTAACTTATTTCTTAAGTGTTAATAGAAAAATAATGAAGGAGTTGTTATGTGATCAAATTAATTTGGAAAATGTTAGAGTTAACAATACAGATTCTCTCCACCTTCAATACGAGTTTATGCACTATAAACTACCCGAAGAGAATTATAGAGGATGTCATTTTGGGCAATGGAATCCTTTTTTTCACTGAGTATGGATGTAATACAGATTTTAAAATGGAACACTAAGGCATTTTTTTTAAAATTTAATTGGATTATCAATTTTCAATCATTATGAAATTCTAGTAGACTGGAAGAGACAACAGCAGTTATTATTTATTGAGCAAAGGGCTTCATTAAGGTTTTCAGACATGACTCAATTGGAAAGGGCCACGTTATAGGGCTACTCTTCTGTGAAGTATACTCTAGTGTAAAGGCTTTTAAAACAAAAGTTTGAAATACAGTATCAAATAAAAGATAAGAAGATAAGGGTATAAATAAATCACTGTAAGGCTTCAAAAAAGAAATAAATTATACCTACAAGGGAAAATATGTAAAGGTTTTATAAAAGGCTGGGTATCAGCAATGGCCCACGAATGACGATTAGGAGGTAGTGAACAGTCACAGATGGGAAGGAATGTTTTAAGCAGTAGAGCTGGCGTTAGCAGAGGCATGGGTTCTCACTTATAAGTGAAAGCTAAGAAATAGCCACACATGGATATAAAGATGGAAACAACAAACAGTGGGAGCTTCAAAAGTGGGGACAAAAGAAGGGGGATCAAGGGCTGAGAAACCACCTATTGATACTATGTTCACTGTTTGGGTAATGGGTTCACTAGAAGCCCAGACCCCACCATTATGCAGTATGCTCATGTCATAAACCTGCACCTTTAGCCCCTGAATCTATACTTTAAAAAGTGAAACCTTGATTTCCTGATTGTCAGTCATGTAGGCTACCTATAGGGACAGCAGTGAAAAGCAAGAATTGCTGGTTTGGGGGTAAAGGCAAACAGAGGATGCTGGGAGAAGATGGAGTATCTGAAACTAAACTTGTAAGTAGAGCCTTACAAGTTTAGTTTCAGTATTGAAACTATAGCCTCGGGCAACCAGGGACTGGTGCAAGTATCGAAAAGGAAGGACCCCTAAGGAAAACTGAAGGCTTATGCCACCTACTTCATGCTTTGGCTAAGGAAGAAGCCTAATCAAATATAGTTGGATCTAGGTTCTGTTTCTCCACTTGCCAATATAGAGAGCCAAAGACAAGTAAGTTTCTTCTTGAAGGTGTGTGTTATTCCCCAAAGAATCTTTTAGGAAGAGTAAGCAGCCTGAGAAATATTTATTCATTAGATATATTCTGGCAGCAACCAGGAAAATCCAGAAAGTACCAAGCACATACACATACACATAATACACTTGATTCTTGAAACATTTGTGGTTTCACTGTTTTGTTATTAACTATTATTATGAAGTACTTATTGCTTTCTCCAGTAAATGCATTTATAAAACAATCCAAACCTATTTTAAATATTGTAAAACAGTGATAGAGTTTGGGTCCAAAACATTCTTAGAAAAAACATTAACTGCTTAATTCCGTTTCACAACTATAAGTAGGGCAGATTTTTTTTAACACACCCCCTCTTGTTTATTGCTGTGAAGAAGATAAGTACTCTCCAGTGTCTTGCTTGATTCAAGAACATCCTGGCTGCTGACTCTTGTAAGCGGTATGGCACTCTTCTGCGATCTAGTGCTGATACATTCCACATGTAACCCTACTGTCCCTGGAAGAGAAACTTTTCTGCTGAGTCAGAGGGGTTTATAGAGATGCAAAATTAACATACCGCCTATGTCTTTCAGAAACTGCTAATAATATCTCTCCTTTGTCTTCTCACAAATGGGAAAGTTTCCGCTCCCTCCATATAGAAATCCATACTTTCCCAGAGAGACGTATGGGTCATCTAAAGCAGAGTGCCTTGTAAGGAAAGCATATCTCAATTGAAATCATCACCACTTGCTGGCTGGCTATAACTGCCTGCAGCCTCACTCCCACCGCCTTGGCTCTCTTAACAGCACATGAGTTCACTTAGAAGAGGCTGTCATCTAAACTTAGCAGCCATGATTTTTTGGGGGGGTCCAAATGTGCCATGTGAACACCAAAGAACATTCTTCAGAGCACATATAGCTAGGGGCAGAGTTAAAGGGACCTAAGACAGTGAATGAGTCAAGGTAGTAGATTGGGGCACTAAATTACTGCAGCAAACTATCAAGCAAATTCTTGGCATTTCTGTCCTCAGAACAAAGATGACAACCTAAACCTTGTTAGGTTTCACAGGAGTTGCAGCTCTGTGAGTCAAAACATGAGAAGAAACACAATCCCACATATCACATGTGAGGCTGCGGAGGCAGGTCCTAGTTGGCTCAGCAATGTTCAAAGAGAAAAATCAAGCAGAATCTCTCTCTAAACATGACTGTTTCCTGTCCTCCACATTGTGGGTTGGAACACTGAGATCGGGCAGCCTTTATTCAAACAACAGTTTCCCTTAAATTGTTATTTCTAATTCTGAATGAAGAGACATTAAGTGCTACACATATCTAATTCTGTCATCCTGTTAATTTTAATGAGTGCAGTCCCAACTGTTCCATTCAAGCACCCTCAATGTACACGTGTGTAAGAAAGGTAGGGCAATGTGCTTGCTGCTTTGTTTCTTTGTCCCTGTACAGTGATGTATCATTTCAAGAGTAGTGGCTGTGTGCAGCTGACAGACCTGGTTTCAGATGCCAGTCGGAGCATCCTCAGGCTCATTAATAATGGAGGCCTCTGACAGGAGCAGTTTTGCCTGCCTTTGTTTTCCACTGTAGGTGAAGGGAGACATGGATCTCTCTGTTTTGCCAAATAACAATCATCCTGACAAATTCCTGCAGCTTGATGTAAAGTCTTTAATGAGGAGCTCAGCCCTCCTTCATGCCAGCCTGGCAAGGTTTCCGGGTGGAAATTATCCTGCTGCACAACACTGGCAAAACCTTGTCTACTCACAGGTAAGATCTAGGGGCACAAAAATACCAGGATGGGGGCTTGTTTCTTTCTTGCTCTCTGCCGTTTCATCTTATGTGAAGGTGGCTACTCTGTCTTCCAACTTAGTCTTTCGCTATTCCTTAACATTAGAAACTTTTCCTAAATATCTTTATAAAATATGTGAATTCTCTCATTCTTTAATTCCCCTCCAAGCATTAGTTTCTCTGCCTATCCTCATTTTAGGTTTCATGTGGCCCTCATTTACTCCTTCCCTTCAAACATTTTCAAATTAATTATATTCACACAAAAGGCTTGCTGGGGGGAAAAGCTTCCGTCTCTATCTTTTGGTGTAATCTAAGCATAAAGCATCAGAAGTTTATGTTGTGGGCATAAACAAGCCTCTAAAACAGCTGGAGATCTTGTGCCTGCCTCCCTTACGCTAGCGCCCTTGCATAGCATACACAGACAACAACAGAACAATGGAAACCTAATCATTGAAGGAGAAAAAAAATATAGCAAATTCTCCACCTTGAAAAATTGTTCGTTATTATTATAGATATTCTTATTTTCCACAAGTGTCCATGTGGACAAGACATACCAATCAGACCTTCAAATCCAATGCAGGTTTTATTTCTCTTTCCGTTCGTATTTTCCTTCTTTTTGCTGACCAAAAGAGAAGAATAAAATTGTGATGAGTTCCATCTGCTGAAATAAACATAAAGGCCTTAACTGTTGCACAGCTAATGAAACAGGAATAACCTTTCTTTTAAGACATGAAGGCTAATGGGGTTAAGAGTTAGTCAATTTAGAAACAGGAAGAAGCATTTCATTACAGAACAGATGTGACTGACCTACAAACCCCTGCAAGTCATTAAATCCTTTGGAGTCGTTCAAATTCCCTGAACAGAAATTTGTTTTCTTTTAAGAACAGTTGCTACTCATGATTCCTGGTGTAAAGTGACTCCTTTGTGGTATGTTTGTGGGCTCCTCGGGACCTTTATCATGAGATCATTCAAAATCAAGTACACTCAAATGATTATGTAAGTGTTTCCTCCACCTATAAGGATTTTAATTTATTTCCATTGTAAGGCAGCCTATTATGACAACTTGCATTTTTTTAATTTTGCATCAATTACTTTGGTAATTCTCAGACCCTTCTGTCATTTCATACCCAGCCATGTTGTTGTTGTTGTATTTGTAGGTGTTCTTTTTTCAGTTTTAAATGAAATAAAAGTCCTCCCTTTTTCCTCCTTATTGTTTATATCATAGAATAAAATGATTCAAAAATCAGTTCAGAAAACTTGGCCCTTCTATGCTATGCAGTTTAGTCTAAGAAAACATATCCAATAAATTCCTTTGAGGTTGGAACACATTGATCTAACATCTTTTGTTTGGTACTGAAGTTGACCTATTTCCTTCATGTGGAACTTCACAGTTTAAAACTGTTGAATGTTGTTCCTAAACCCAAATGAAATGCAAATTTTTAAAAGGAAATTTTTTCTACAGGCTCCATTGGGTGGAAATAGTTATCAAAAAAAAAAAAAAAAAAAAAACCAAAGAGGTAAACTTCTGCTTCACAGGTCTTTGAATATGTGTTGTTAATCATTATAAACTTGATTTAGTTATCCTTTTATCCTAAGAAGAAATGTTAAGTGACCTAGAGAAGGCCAGTGTACTAACTGGGTATTAATAAGGCATGGAGAGAGGCAAGACGGTACATCAAGTACAAATTCAGATAATCAGGTAGGTGTGGCACAAAGTATGAGTAATAACAATGATATTCACTACTTCATTTTGCAATGCATCAATAAATAATGCTCTTTTGGGGGTGGGTCTTAAAATCCATGATTGATATATTCATTGGATAAAATAATAAATGTCATGGAAATAGCCATATAGAAGTTTTAAATATTTGCCATGATACCTGGAAGAAGACAGTGAATATACAAGTATATTGAGGTGTTAGGCACACATAAGGTGGTAGCTACCGAAAAGTTCTTAATTTAAAGCTCTAACTCTATTGGGGAGTCAGTAAGTCAATGTGAAGAACATGGAATAAAGAAGTTAGACACTTGGTTTCTTATCTCAGATTTACAATAAACCAGTTTTAGAGACATCTATCATGGCCCTTAATCAATTCATGCCTCAGTATTTCCACTTGCAATATTAGGATAATATTTATTTTATATATTTCCCTAAAAGTGAGAGCAAATGAAATATGAGGTAAAAACAATTGAGAGCCATATTTTCCTATAAAAGAGCACGAATATGTATGGAAGTATGTACATGTGGATTGTTATTTATATTAGTATTTCAAAATGTATTTAAGTAATCATCTTATTAGAATGTATTAGCAGGTAATCCTGTTTCCATTATTTTATAAATATTGTGGATGAAGGGGTGTATGTATGTGTGTGCACACATGCGTGTGTGTGCACATGGTGGTTGGGGGGGATGTACTCAATACATATGTCAACCTGTGTGACCAACCCAAGCAGTAGATACAATACCACATGAAATCTATATAAATTCCAGAGTTGTGTCAACTGATCCTTTCTTCTCACACCACACAAGTGCATGGTGTTTGGGGTACAGACTACCTTATGGACTGGCAAAGCACTTAACCTGAAGTCATTACCTTTAAACTAGTGGTAACTCAGCAGTTAAAACGGAGACACCCTAGATTGGAAATGTCAAGTTGAATTCTTATATATGCATTTTATATCAATGATTTATCAACTAATTTTTAAAATTCACTTTCCACTTTCAGAGAAAATTCTCCAGGCCATTTTTTTATATGAGCTAAAGCAGTACCATTCAATCTATTTCCTTCTTTCTTTTCTTTCTTTCTTTTTTTTTTTTTTTTTTTTTTTTTTTTTTTTTTTTTTTTTTTTTTTTTTTTTTTTACTCTGTCACCCAGGCTAGAGTGCAGTGGTACAATCTCGGTTTGCTGCAATCTCTGCCTTCCAGATTCAAGTGATTCTTGTGCCTCAGCCTCCCAAGTATCTGGGATTACAGGTGCTCTCCACCATGTCTGGCTAACTGTTGTGTTTTTAGTAGAGATGGGGTTTTGCCATGTTGGCCAGGCTGGTCTCGAACTTCTCACCTCAAGCGATCCAACCCCCTCAGCTTCCCAAAGTGCTTGATTACAGGCGTGAGTCCCTATGCACAGCCTCAATCTAAAAAATTAAGCAGTGATGTTCTCAGTCAAGTCAGTAACCAGGAACATTGTAATTACCATCTACGTAAATACTCAGGTCTGCCATATTTACATAATATCTGAGTATACACAGATATTATTTGATTCTACCATATTTAAACTTTTCCTTAAATTCTTTCACCAGAGAAATAAAGAAGCTTCACAATAAATTTTATGATAGTACAATAAAGAAGCATTCACCAAAATCTAATGTTTCTAATTGTTAAAAATGATTTGGGGGATGTATCTGATGAAGGCATTTAGAAATATATTCCAGGCCGGGCGCGGTGGCTCAAGCCTGTAATCCCAGCACTGTGGGAGGCCAAGGCGGGTGGATCACGAGGTCAAGAGATCGAGACCATCCTGGTCAACATAGTGAAACCCCGTCTCTACTAAAAATACAAAAAATTAGCTGGGCACGGTGGCGCGTGCCTGTAATCCCAGCGACTCAGGAGGCTGAGGCAGGAGAATTGCCTGAACCCGGGAGGCGGAGGTTGCGGTGAGCCGAGATCGCACCATTGCACTCCAGCCTGGGTAACAAGAGCGAAACTCCGTCTCAAAAAAAAAAAAAAAAAAAAGAAATATATTCCAAATATGTCTGCCAACCCCTTTATGAAACAAGTAATGAAAAGAAAAGCTGATTTAAAAAAAAAATAAGTGATAAAATATGTGTTTTTCAAACAACCCCATCCAAAAGTAGGCAAAGGATATGAACAGACACTTCTCAAAAGAAGACATTTATGCAGCCAACAAACATATGACAAAAATCTCATCACTGGTCATTAGAGAAATGCAAATCAAAACCACAATGTGATACCATCTCAGACCAGTTAGAATGGCGATCATTAAAACGTCAGGAAACAACAGATGCTGGAGAGGATGTGGAGAAATTGGAACATTTTTACACTGCTGGTGGGAGTGTAAACTAGTTCAACCATTTTGGAAGACAGCGTGGTGATTCCTGAAAGATCTAGAACCAGGAATACCATTGGACCCAGCAATCCCATTACTGGTTATATACCCAAAGGATTATAAATCATTCTGCTATAAAGACACATAAACATGTATGTTTATTGCAGCACTGTTTACAAGAGCAAAGGCTTGGAACCAACCCAAATGCCCATCAATGATAGACTGGATAAAGAAAATGTGGCACATATACATCATGGAGTACTATGCAGCCATAAAAAAGAAAGAGTTCATGTCCTTTGCAGGGACATAGATGAAGCTGGAAACCATCATTCTCAAAAAACTAACACAGGAAGAGAAAACCAAACACCACATGCTCTCACTCATAAGCAGGAGTTAAACAATGAGAAAATGTGGACACAGGGAGGGGAACATCACATACTGGGGCCTGTCAGAGGTTGAGGGGCTAGGGGAGGGATAGCATTAAGACATACCTAATGCATGTAGGGCTTAAAACCTAGATGATGGGTTGATGAGTGCAGCAAACCACCATGGCACATCTATACCTAACAAACCTGCACGTTCAGCACGTGTATCCCCACCTTAAAGTTTATTCAAAGGGCAAGAAAGAAAAATGTATTTTTCATTTTTCATTTATGGTGGTGGGTCTTAATTTTCTAATTAGCAGTTGCACATAAGAATATTTTCAGACTAATTTCTTTGTTGTATCTTTTCCTAGCTTCTATCACATCAGTTTCAGAATCAAGAAGCATTCCAGACTAAACCTGTGAGATGGAGGCAAAGGCTAAGGGTGACAGGCTGCTCTTCCATTGATTTCTAGACAATGTCATTTACTGAATTTATTTCCTAATCATATTTCTGCACAATCCAATCACACTCTTTTTCCCATAAATT